CAAGCATGTGATAAGGAAGGTAAATGGGTCTTGATAAGGGATTTGGCTTGTTGGGCTTATTTTAGGAGGATGATAAGCTATCAATGGTTACATTCAATGGCTTGTTGGACCCTTAAATTGAATAAAAGAAACTCTAATTACTAAACCTACGAGTTATCCCATGCTTTATAAATGTAGTGTTGGGTAACTTGACAAAATATCAGGCACGTGGTGGTTCAAACTCAATTCCGGGCATATCTCCATGGGCTCCACAGTTGGACCCAGAAATGATTTGGGTTCTTGAAATCCACGATGAGGGAGAAAGGAGAAATGATTTTCCTCCCTTGAACTCTTCTAACTTGATGTGGGTGTGAAGGTCCTTACTGACGAAGACCTGGACTGCAGTTTGGAGTTGATCCTTAAGTAGTTTGGCCCGTCTTTTAGTATTTGGGCCTAGAGGCAAAGTAAGCCATCCTTTGGGGGTGTGATGCATGTATCATATAGTATAACCAATGAGGAATTACATTGCTGCAGCGTCCAAGCCTGTTTAATGCTTTTAGTACGTGAGTTTGCCAAAATGAAATATTAGATCACCATTCACCGTTTACAGAAAAATGCAAACGCACTAAAAATCTCACATATATGCGTGTATATATAAAATTTCTGTTTGCATTCAATGTGGAAATTTTAAAACCAGAATAGCAATAATTTTGTTTGAATAGCACACTAGCGCGAACTTTCTGCGCACACTCTGTAGAGAAGTTTCATATATCCTTCGAATTAGTACCATCCTCCTGATGAACAGCTGTCTGGTTTTTTGTACTTACAAACACACTGTATGATACTTTTGCCTAAAACATCATGGAAACACAACTATAATGGAAGTTGAACCGCAAAGCTTTTGGTACGCAGAATTATTTGAAACAATTATTAAATTAAAAATGTAGTGTCTAAAGAATACGGAAGCGGAGAGGAGGTGGATGCCTGCGAAACTGATATCACCTGTATCTTAGTAGATATCTATCTTAAAATTTAAGTTTCATTTTGTTAATTATCCTTTTATTGATTGTGTCCATGCTCAAATTTTATTTGTTCCCACCTCTTATAAAATAATTGTGGTGTTAATATAGGTGTAGTCACTCTCAAATATATTTCTAGATCCTTTATTAGATACTACATGGAGACAACGATCGTTTTGATTAGAACGGTGGTACTAGATGGGGAACACGATGGCGTTTGATGGTAAGGATTTGGAGGGAGAGGATGATAATGAGAGTTTGAGGGGGACCTTGGCCCCCAAGCTATGGGAAAATGTTCTTTAAATCTAAAAATTTTAATTTGACATTTTTAAAATTTTAAGAAAAAAATTATTAAGATTTTAAATTTTGAAATAATAGTAATGGATAAGGTATCTCATTAAAATAATTAATCCCTGACTAAATCCATGTGCATGTGCTTTTAATTAAAACTTTGCTCATTCATTGTACTGTAATCTCAATAATTTGGTTTAAATGATTGAGAAAGTAGTATAATAATACAAGACGTGCATTTTTTTAATCACCGTATTTAATTTAGTGGGATATAATATTAAATTTTTTTTAAAAATTTTAAATATCTATATTAAGGATGTTGAGAAGATGACTTTAATTTCTCTAGAATTGTTCTTTAAACTGTAGTTTGAAAAACAACATAAAATCTTTAGAGATTAAAGAAGCTTTTGGCTATTAAAGAGAATGAATTTATAATCAAAAGTTGCCTCTCTTTCTTCCTTCAATCATATCATAGACTCAAGCTTTGTTAGACTCGCCTACGGATCAACATCATGCCAAGATCAAACTAACATGAAACTAGTCATTTTTTCATTGAATTATCATGGCTGATTTACATACATACATATATTTCACATAGTGGGGGATACAGATCCCTGATGAGAACATAGAGGAGGGCGTACATACATGCATCCATACATACATAACATACATGGTATTTATGTAGATTCCACTGACGGGGGAGAAAAAGAAGCCATGGAAGTATTATTGGTGGGCATGGATTGTGATCGCTTCATCATCCAAGCTGATGACCTTGACCTGTGAAATCTGCATTGGAATGGGCCCTGATGAGTTGTCGGTGAGCATAAACATTGGCTGAATTTGGCTGAATTTGCTGCTCCGGAGTTGCTGCCTTTGGGGGAGGTGCTGACGGTAATGTTCCCATGGGATGACATATTGAAGAAAGAAAAGAGAGAATAAAGAAGAGTAATTCCAGGGACAAACTTCTGGCAGATGATATTAGTCCTTCGGTGTATATATAACTGTAGGTGTGTGTGATTATATTTAATGTTAAATTGGTCAACCTTTTTATATTTCGAATACTAATTTTTAAAGATACGTATTATCGCTACACTCTTCAACCCATGGAATCATAGTATTAAATTGTGGTTGCGGTGTTGCGGTTACAGATGCTGCAGACGTTACGTAACATATTGTGGTTGTCGAGGGCGTGATCTTTTCCACAAAAATCACAATACGTCTAAAATATTATATTTATAAATTTTACAGTTATCTTTTAATATACTAATATTAATATACTCTTTTAATATTTTATTTTGAAAATAAAAAATTAATTTCATAGATAAAAATTTATTAAAAACAAATATAACTATAGAAGTGATATCATATTGGATAATGGGTAATAATAATTATAATGTTAATGAATAACATATAAACAATATCACTAAAATCATATCAAATTTTTTATATTGTAATATAAAAATGTCCATTTTACATAACATAGAAAGAAAGAAAAATACATAACTACAAATATAAAAATAGAACCATGAGATGATTCACTAATTTCATTATCATTTGTAGCTGAACTATATGATGATGAACCTGTAAATGAATCATAAAAGTGTTCTCCCATCCTCCTATGAGTTCTATCATCATCATCTCTTCTATTTTGTGATACATTTTTTCTATAAAAATCTGAATTATCATCGTTAGGATATCTTGACGTACTTTGATCTCCATGAAATGCAATGGAATAAATGTGTCCATATTCTGGTTGGTACGTACCTTCATTATCACCACCATGGTCATCACAACCACCATCATCATCGTCGTCGTCGTCGTCATCATCATAACTTGACGTCGATAGTTGAACATTTTCCTCATTAGATGGAGTAGGTGAACTGTTCATATCTTCACCTTGATTTTCTTCATCGGTTTCATTAAGTACCTCAGGCAACCATGAGAAATTTTGTTCAATATCAAGTGTAGCATTCTCTTTCTTCATTCCATGCATTTAGTAGGTCATCTTCTTCAAAAATATTTTCAAGATTAATCAGATTAAAACCCATTTCTAATTCTTGTGCACTTTTTCTTTGCATGTGTCTCAGCTTCAACCTCATATTATAATGGACATAAACCAATTTTTGAAGTTTTTTATGCTTGAGTCTATTTCTCTTCTTTGTATGGATCAAACAAAAAGTAATCTAATTACGCTCACAATTTGAAGATGAAGTTGTTTGACTCAAAACTTTGACAGCGATGCGTTGAAGTTGCGGTGCAAAAGTTTCATAATTAATCCACCATTTAACTACAAAAAACATAAATATTAAGATATAATTCATAAAGTATTTATACAAATATCTTTATTATCTATAGAACTATAGAGGATAAATTCTTTTTGTTTAGCATGGTTAGTCTTCAAAATTGTAGTTTGAGCTAATGGTGTTCCAAAAGAATACATTTTTTCTCGATATAGCAACAACTAAAAAATAAATGAATTAGTAGTTTAAACATGATAATATATGAGTTTTTTCAAACAATTTAAGTATATAAAATACATATATGGTTCATTGCAAGAATTTGATCATTCAAGTTGGGTTCTATCATCTGTATAACATTTCTAACTCCATTCATAGTTTCACAAATCACTTCACTTGTGAAATTGCCTCCGTATAGAAATTGTAGATTTAGAAAATATCCTACATAAAAATAGCATAATAAATATCTAAACAAGATATCACAATTTAAATTTAAAAGTTTTATAACGTACCAGCAAAATGTAAATCATTATGAAGTTGTTTAATCCATCGTCTATCAATTATTTCCCAATATAATAATAAATAAACATGTAATTATGATACTTAATGTTAATATAAATATTTAATTTAAAATTAATCACATCAATTTTAGATATGATGAAATTCAATTTAAATTAATTTAATTTTAAAATAACGTTAATAAATAATTTAATTAATTCAAATTTACGTAACTAATTTTAAACATAACTATTATGATATTATTAATGATATATATTTATAATCCAGTTTTAAGAATTAAATTAGAACAATTCATTTATGTAATTTTATATTTCAAATAATTTAAAGTTTGTTAAGGTGTTATGACACAATTCATAACGTGTTGTGGTGTTAACTTTCAAAAACATTATGATGTGGCCGTTACGCTACGTTGCGTCGACAATTTAGTACCATGAATGGAATACAAGTACTACGTGGAATACAGATTGCAAATACATTGATGACAATTGTTAGTACATTCTTTGTATTTGTACTAGAAAACACACACACAAAACAGATCAACCGAAAGCAAAAGCAAATTAAACCAACTTACCAGCCAACTAACAAAACTACTAGTCTCATTTGAATCTTTGTTTGACATTTTTACCTGGAAATTATAAACACGTTCCTGGAGATACACATTCTTCTTCTAATCATTAGCTTTTTCGTTTCAAAATTTCCATTTACAATTTTCGATTCCCAACGTTTCTCTTTTGAAGTTTTCTATCTCAGGTTTTTCTTATTATGTTTCTGGGAATTCTGATCAAATCGTTCATGGCAAGGTCGAGAAATAAGAACATACAGGCCAAGCTGGTGGGTATGTTTTTCCCTTTGTCTTTCCTTTTGAAGAAACCCAGCTTAAATGGAGGAACTGCTTTATTTTTTTTTATTACTTTCCTCATTTTCCAGGTACTTCTTGGGGACATGGGAACTGGGAAAACGAGCTTGGTACTGCAATCTTTCAAAGGCCAATTCCTTGATTTTCAGGTTGATTTTCTTTTCACTTTTTTCTTTTCTGTATTTATATAATATCAATCTAATATGTTTAACTAATGTAGGAGTCGACAATTGGGGCAGCTTTCTTCACTCAGGTTTTGTCACTCAATGAAGCCACCATAAAGTTCGATATATGGAACACGGCAGGCCAAGAGAGATACCATAGCTTGGCTCCTATGTAGTATCGCGGTGCAGCCGCGGCCGTCGTGGTCTACAATGTCACTAGCTCGGTAACTTGCTTGATTGATACTCGTAGATCTCGGCATAGCCTAACCGTAATATGTACTGTCTGTTGATGTGGGTCTGTTACTGTACATTGTTGATCATACTCTTTAAATCCATTTGTTCTAACTTTGATGCCATCATGTATTCATGCCTTATAAATCGTATGTCCATCTGATGCACAATTACCAGTCTTTCAGGACACATTCGAGCGAGCCAAAAAATGGGTTCGGGAAGTCCAGTAATTTGAGTAGCAGTCTAAATGTTCTACTCCTAGGACTGAAGTTCATTTGAGTTCTTTCTACCATCTGCAAATCATTTTTTCTACAAATTTGAACACTTGAACAAATGTATAATATATATGAAACGATCTAACAATCCAGCTTGTTTCGTATTTCGTTGTTTGATTCGTATTATGCCGGTTCAGGAAATCCAAATTTGATAATGTTCTTAGCAAACAAGGTTGACTTGGAAGAAAAGAGAAAAGTGGGAAACGAGGTATCTGCAATCTGATACTTTTTCCTGCCTCCTTTTTCTTTTGCTATTAGAAAGATAGCGATTAAAGGTTCCACGTCTCGGCGATTTACATCGATTATTGCTATGTTAGGATCTTGAAATTTGCTTTATGTTGTTCATAATTGCACACTTGAATCAGAGATGCTATCAGGGAAGAAGGCTTCTTGTACCATCCGGGTTATTTCGGGGTATGAGTTCATGATTCTGTTAGTATAATCATATTATGCACTTTGTTTAACCGAGTTGATCTCGAACATGTTGAATCTACCTTGCTGATGTTTACGTGAAACTGAGAAAAAGAACAAATACTATATGGCGTTTTGATTCTTGTTAATACCTATGCAAAAAAAGAATGCTATATAGTATAGACTCGGGACAAGGAAAACAGTCCAACTGAAAAGCTGAATAACTCCTAATTTGTATGCAGGAAGGTGAGATATATGCCAAAGCAAATGGCATTCACCTTCTCCTATAATGCATTACCTTGTTACCTGCCTTCTTACACTCGCATACTATCTCACAGCAAAGAGATTGGCGAAAGCTGCTCCTTCTAGGCCGACTGGAATGAGATTGCATAACAGGCCTCAAGGAAGCGGAAGAAGGTTCTTTTCTTGCTCCTCATGATATGAAAGGTAAGTTATATACCAGTATGAAATTAGTGTTACCTACATCTGAGTTCCAAGGTATCGGTCTTTGGATTAACCGATCTGGAACATGGTTCCATCGCTGACATGAATCTGCAGGTCAATCTAAACCAGCCATGCTTGAGGTTTTCTCAGTTAATAATTGGCAATTTTTTTTGCAGGTAATTGAAAGATTAATGTCGTGAATATCTCTGCATGCGGTATGTTCGCCGAATCAAACACCACAGCTTCATTGCCAGTTTCAAATGCATTCATTTTGTTTTATAGATTCTCATGGAACTCCAAATAAATAAACAGATTTTTCTTTTCTTTTTCCCTTTTTATTCAACTTATGGCTTTGTTCCCTCTGATATACTTGTATTCGAGATTGAGTCCATATTTTAATTTAACATAATTTGATCCACTGGTTCAAACAGTTAACACATACACCATCATCATCGCTTGAAGGTGATGTATACATGTAGGTTATGTAATAGATAAGTTAGTATTTTAATATAACACTAACTCTTAGAAAGTTAGATAGATAAGGATAACTACTAAGTAGTTTACTTCTAATAGAAAACTTAATACTAACTTTTCCTATAAAAAGATGTATTTTCACCATTCACAATATATAATAAAAAGAGTTCATTTTCTTCTCCACTATGTTGTTTACTCTTTATCAACATGGTATCAGCTAGGTGACCGATCCTTCACCTAAATCTAGTCGATTTTTTTTTTCTTTTTCTTTTTTTACCCTAAATCTAGCCGTCGATCAGGAATTTCACCACTTCTTCATTGGAGGTCACTTCGGAAATCCTCATTAATTCACCACATTCTGATGTTTCTTCAGCCTCTATCACATGTCACCGATTGAATGGTGACAATTATAACCCTCACTCTCAAACTACTACTCGGCCAAAGAAGGGGAGACCTTGGTGTGACTATTGTAAGAAGGTTGGCCATCTGCGGGATTCCTGTTGGAAATTACATGGGAAGTCTTCAAAACAGCATCAACAACGTGATGCTCAAGAAAATTGTGCTGTGAATACTGATTTACAAGGAAGTTCGTTTACTAAAAAACAAATGGAAGAGTTGCAGTAGTTTTTTAGTCAGTTAAACACTCATTCCCAATCAGTATCTGCAGGTAGAATTTATTCTGCTACTTTGGCTAATACATCCACCACTCCTACTTGGGTTGTGGATTCTGGTGCAAGTGATCATATGACAGGTGATCTTCGGCTCTTTTACACTTTTCATGCCAACTCGTCTATCTCTCATATTCGAACAGCTGATGGTTCTCTATCCGGTGTTGCTGGTCATGGGTCTATTCGAATAAATCAGGACATTTTGTTATCTCATGTTCTTTATGTTCCCAATCTTACTTGCAATCTTATCTCCATTAGCAAGTTGTCTGCCGAGTGAATTTCAGGATTCTAGCTCGGGGAAAGTGATTGGCAGTGTTAGGCTTTGTGGGGGTCTTTACCTACTTCCAGCAACTTTATTTTTCCACTCATCTACTTCCTACCATGTTATACAACAATTTCCTTTACTTAAACTTTCAACCGATGTTATGTTATTGCATTTTCGTTTAGGACATCCCAGTTTCTTTTATCTTGCAAAATTGTTTCCACATTTGTTTGTCAATAAGAGTCCAAAATTTTTTTCTTGTGATATTTGTCCACTTGCTAAACAAACTATGAGTGTTTATCTACCTTCTCCATATAAACCGTCCAAACCATCTACCATGATCCATAGTGATATTTGGGGACCATCTCGGGTAGCGTCTTTACATGGGTTTCGGTGGTTTATTTCATTTATTGATGATCACACTCATACTACCTGTACCTTTCTCATGAAAACCAAATCTGAAGCTTGTGAAATATTTAAACGGTTCCATAAGATGGTTGAAACTCAATTTCAGTGTTTAATCCAAATGTTTCATTCTGACAATGGTAGTGAGTATTTTGCCAATGTTTTGGGTTCTTTCTTTCAGGAAACCGGGATTATTCATCTTACTTCGTGTGTCAATTCTCCTCAACAAAGTGGGTTTGCTGAGCGAAAAAACATGCATCTTCTTGAGGTTACTCGATCTCTACTTTTTTCCACAAATGTTCCTAACTATTTTTGGAGGGAAGCCCTTTTAACTGCCACTTATTTGATTAACTGTCTCCCTAGTAAACCGTTATAATTTAAGTGTCTGAGAGATGTTTTTCTTCAATTTTTTCCCAATTTTAAACTGATGACTTCATTTTACCCTTTAGAGTTTTTGGTTGTACTGTGTTCGTTCATAACAATTTTCTTTTCAGGTCCAAATTAGATCCTCTAGCATTTCGGTGTGTTTTTAGGTTATTCATCGACTCAAAAGGGATTTCGATGTTATTATCCTCGTACAAAGAAATTATTTATTACTATGGACGTTACTTTCTTTGAAAAATACATTTTTTCCTTAAAACTGCTATTCAGGGGGAGTCATATAATGAATATCAGTTTATTGACTCACAACAATTGTCACTTGATTTGTAGCCAGCTCTTTTTGATCAACCAGCACCGTCAAACCAGTTAAACTAGTTGAATAAGCCTACAAAATCGCTACAGCCAGACCAAACAACACTACCGAACCCAGAAAACGTATCCTTGCCAAACCAGTCCACCGAAACACATTTACCTCAGCATGATCAACATATCACTTCGCCTCAAATATCTCAATCCGAGTTGCAGATTTACAAGAGACGACAAAAACCAATTTCTAAATCAATCCCTGAACCTAATCCCTAGTCTCCCACATAACATAGACACTGTCATGAACCAGAATCGAACGAGAATTCTTTGGAGAATGAAGAAGGTAATCAGAGTTCTTCCACTGAATTAAATGCTTTAATTGATGATAATGACTTGTCGATTGCTCAAAGGAAAGAAGTAAGAAAATGCAGAAATTATCCAATTGAGAGATTTGTTGCATATGGAAAGTTAACGCCTTGTTTTAAGAACTTTACAGCAAATGTAGATAGTATTACTGTTCCAGATACGGTGAAAGAAGCATTGAAAGATCCCAAGTGGAAAAAGGCAGTAGAAGAGGAATTAAAAGCACTGGAAAACAACAATACTTGGATTATAGTTGATCTTCCGAAAGATAAAAAACCAGTCAGCTGCAAATGGGCATTCACAGTAAAATACAAAGCTGATGGTAGCATTGAAATATATAAGGCGAGATTAGTGGCGAAAGGATTCATTCAATCTTTTGGAGTTGATTATCATGAAACGTTTGCTCCGGTAGCAAAACTAAACACTGTGAGAGTGTTACTGTCATTAGCAGTTAATGAGAATTGGGTGCTTCATCAGTTAGACATCAAAAATGCATTTCTAAACGAAAACTTGGAGGAGGAAGTATATATGAGAATTCCACCGGGTGTGAAGAGTAATATAGGAAAAGCATGTAGATTACTAAAGTCCTTGTACGGACTTAAGCAATCTCCAAGAGTCTGGTTTGACAGATTTACAAAGGTGTTTATTTAGGATGGTTACAAGCAATGTCAATCAGATCACACTTTATTTGTCAAAACATCTTCAAACAACAAAAAGGCAATTTTGATTGTCTATGTGGATGATATCATTTTAATAGGTGATGATTTTATGGAGATAGAAAGATTGAAAAAGCTACTGGCGAAGGAGTTCGAAACCAAAGACTTGGGAACTTTACGGTATTTTTTAGGCATGGAGGTTGCAAGGTCAAAAGAAGGAACAGTGATCAACCAAAGGAAATATATCATTGATCTACTATCAGAAACTGGAATGAAGGGATGTAAGCCGGCTGAAACACCCATGGAAGCAAATCTGAAGATAAGGAGAGAAGAATTGGGAAGTCATGTGAACAAAGAATATATCAAAGGCTAGTAGGTAAACTAATTTATTTATTACTTACTAGACTTGATATTGTGTTCCCTGTCAGTATAGTGAGTCAATATATGAATGATCCAAGAGAAGAATATTTAGAGGCTGTGAATAGAATTCTAAGATACTTGAAAATGACACCAGGACATGGATTAATTTTTAGAAAGAGTGACGATAGAATAGTAAGAATTTTTTCGAATTCAAGTTGGGC